GATAAAGCACTGGGAAAGTTTTGTCTGCATGCTGTGAGTTTGCATCCTTTTCAAGGACCTGAGCAGCGTCAGTACCAAAGTGCCCATCAGATGCTTTGCCTTGTAATTAGGGGAAAGACACATTAAAATCGCAGTTGCTAAGGTACCCGAAGTTAGCTACAGGCTACTGAACTAACCTCTGCAAAACATTAATGTTAGTGGGACTGCACGTATAAGCAGTATGTATATCATATGTGCTACATTCACTCTCAGAAGAATTAAACATTTCTTTTCCTAAAATTAGGATTTGTCTTTTGACAGGTGCTTTGGCGCAGTACGCTAGCTGCTTAGAATTGGTGAACAAAAGACTGCCTTGTGGCCTTGCTCAAATTGGAGTGTGCTTTCACTCTGTTCCAGAAAGCAAACAACACAAGAAAAACCTTACAAGGTAGAGTAATAGAGGGATAAATCCCTCTTCGTACTTAAATGTTTGTACTTGTTTCACTTTTGAATTATTTTTGAATACTGTCTTTTGCTTTTTCCCTGTTATTTTTGAAGGTGTTAACTTGCTGACCTTGCTATTGTTTAAAGAATAGGCGAAAGGACCACGTCTTTGCTTGCATGGTTTAGCTCTCCCAGAACTGCAGGACAGTGGCTTGATTACTGGTTACGACAGAGACTCCAATGGTGGCGAAAGGTAAGGGGACTTGTACCCATGGGAAACCTTGACCTGCTTCTTTATATTTTAAAGACAAGGGGGGATAGACACCCTGATTGGTTACATGGAGTTATGTTGCTTACCTGTTCTTGTCACTGAAATACATGTAGTTATTGTGAGAAACCAAAAAGCTACTTAAGTTTTTGACAAGTAGTTATGTAGTTTACAATATGACTTGCAGAAAGGCAAATAGTTTGTGTCTGTAATTACAATTTTGATTTGAGATCAAAATGCTGTAAAACAGCAAAGATTTGGGCTGTAATTTATAGAAGTGTTTTGCTGAAAAACAGACTTCAGCTTGCACTGCAGACTTGTGTTCTTTTTAATGCAGCCTGCACACAGCCGTGATCACCTCTTACGCTTTAAATTTTCAGTTTGCCATAGGCCCATCTAACTTCAGCAGCAGTGACTTTCAAGATGAAGAAGGAAGAAGAGGATTTAATTTACATTACAACTTTCCTTGGGGGACAGAAACAATTGAAACATTGAAGAACCTTGGTGATACTGAGCTGTTGCAGATGTATCCAGGGGATAGTTCAAAATTATTTGTAAGCTTTATTGAATTAAAAACCTTTTTTCATAAAGATGATAATGTGTGAGAGAAATTGTTTCTTTGCTGGTCTAGTTGCTTAGCATGTGACTGTCTTTTTATTCTTTCATTGTAAAAGCAGACAATCTGCAGTCAGACCTTCACTTTCAAAAGCAGATAAAATAATGTTTTGGTTTGAGTTTTTTTTTGCAATGAGTTAATTGTTTTAAATTAGAAATTAGCTATATTAACAAAACAGCACTTTTGAGTTGTGTCGCCTGTATCTGTGAGTAGATGTCAAGACAAACTCAGTCTGTGTTTTGCAGTGTTAAGTTCACATCAGAAAGAACCTGTAAATGTTTTTGATGTGAACTTAACCTATTTTCTGTACTACTTTCTGTAGCTTGTTCAATTCCATATATGTAGAAGTGTATGTGGATTAATGGGTTAAACCCTGCAAATGGCTTTGTAGAAGTTACCACACTTGGAAGGGAAAATGGACCAGAGAGAAACCTTTCCACTGAATATACTGGAGTGGGACAAACTTCTAGGGGACAGCAATGTTTGAGAAGTCAGGCTGAACAGATAAAACTACAACTTCTTTTACTAGTAAATTGCAGCCTCCCTCTCGTGACAGTCCTATCTGACTTCCCTGGTTTTGCAGCTTATTTCTGTACAGAAGGCTGTGCAGACTGTAAAGTAATCTCCAAAACTGGGGGTTACGTAGCGATTTCATAAAATGTAGGGACAGATCCTTCGGGTTACTTGGAGGTAATTTACAAACCTCCAAAAGAAAATGAGGAGTTTCAAGGGTGTTTGCCATAGATTTAAATGTATGATCAGAGAAGCAGGACAAGAAAATAGTCCCATCCTGCTCGGATCTTCTGCTTTCCTCGGTGTTACAATCTTACCTAGTTATGTTACACTTTTCAGATTTCTGGTAACTTTTTAAAGTGTATGTCTGATTGTATTTTAAATGGAGTAAATGTGCTTGAGCTCAGTGCCTCATCATACATTTAAAGTAAACAAGGCTTTTGGGGACAGTCTTTGAGGTATCCCTTTGTGGGTTTTTTCTCTTCAGGGCCGAGACGGAAGGAAGAACGTTATTCCTCATGTTCTGTCTGTCAGTGGAAATCTGGACCGAGGAGCATTAGCGTACCTCTTTGATTCTCTACAGCTAGCTGAGAATCCATTCATAAAAAAGAAAAATTCACAGAGAAAGGTAATTCTCCATAGAAAGTGTAAGGAAGAGGGGACGGTGGAAGGCAGGGGCAAGTCTAAGTACAAAACTCAGAGGCATTGTGGTAAATTAAAGCATGGAAATATCTCCCTTTTCCACATCTCCATCCTCTGTTCCTTTCCACAATGGGTGTGGGCAGAACGTGTCTCACTGGCAGCAGTAGCCTGGCCCATGGGACTGCCTCTGTGGTACTTTTCACACACAAAAACAATTTTTCTTTCATTCTGAGCTCACCTTTCCTGATTTACCTTCTCTCTGAGGAGCAGGTAGGCTCTTGCCATGCAAGTGATGAAAGAGTTAAGAGGAATTGGAATCGAGCTGCTGTGTGTGGGAAGAGGAGTTTGTCTCTTCTCTTGCTGAGGGTAGTGGGACATTTCCCCAAGGGCCATCATTATTCCCACTTTTACCCTGGTTTTCTGGAGTCAGACTGCTAACTTTCAGACAGCCCTTGTTAATCAAACAGCTGCTGGGTCTTCAAGAACAGGCAGTAGGTGATGGTAGCTGCTGGGCTGTCTCTGATCACTCTAGTGCTGTTAAAGAGCTGACACAACTTCATCTCTTTCATGGGGCTCAGCCAAAAGGCAGTAATTCCTGCCACACCAAGCAATCTGGCATGTGTGCTAGTTGTGTTACAATAAAACTTTGCATGTGTAGAACCTTAATTTCTGTGAAAAAAAACTTATTTCTTAGGCCTGTTTAGAATTTCACACTAAATTATATTTAATAATTGTTCCTTTTTATAAAATTATTAGGTACTTAAGCTTCATCCTTCTTTAGCACCTCTAAAAGTGGCTTTGGATGTAGGAAAAGGTCCAACAACAGAGCTGAGGCAGGTAAGTTGTGAGAAAGTATTTTAATTTTGAGCATTGACTCTATGTAACCTGTTACAATCCAGAAACTATTTATGTTGGGGAAAATCACGCTGCTACTCTGATTCTCAGAGATTCATGGTTGTACAGATTTCACAGTGCTTCTGCTATGTAGCTGGTGAGTCACAGCGAAGGAGTACATTGCAGACAGCGGGTAGTAGGTGTCTGCTCTTAGTAGGTACACTGCTTTTAGTACTGCTAACAGAATTGTTACTTGTTCCATGCAAAAATAAGGAAAATAAATAACAACATCCCTAATTCTTTCAGAATTATCTTAATGCATGGGTCACATCTTCAGAAGGCTTTTAGAAAAGTGTTTATTTGTCAGTCATGAAGCCAGTCCTCACAGAAAGGAGGAAACTTTCGCTGGCATGTTTCTAAATAGAAAGAGATTTAATTTCTGAGCTGCTTTCTACTTTGAGATTATTTCAGCCAGAAAATTAACACCAGTTAGGAATGCTGATACCACACACACTGGAGTTTTAATGGTTTCTTTGTATAGGATTTCAAACCCTCCAAGTCTGTCCTTTAACTTTTGTTTTTAAATAAACAGGTTTGTCAAGGATTGTTCAATGAATTGTCAGAAAACAGAATTTCTGTATGGCCCGGTTACCTCGAAACCGTGCAGGTATCTCTGGAACAGCTTTATGCAAAGTAAGGAGAAACAGTCTTTTGTAAATTAAACTATGAAGGTGAAAGATGACTTTCTGTGGATTAATGAAAGGATGCCTGTTTGCAGTAAGAATCATTGAGTGCAGTAACTGCATGAGTGAAGGCATGTATTCTGAGCTATAAACTTGCATTCAATTTTATTATAAAGAGCAACGTTCCTTTTTAAAATTATGAGCCTTTCATGCTTTATTGTTGTTTCTCTGGAACTGTGAAATGTCTTTTAGAGACTCTTCTATTGAAAATAAATCTAAGAGGAATCATAACCTTGCAGAACCGTTTCCCACCATCGCCCCCTATCTTTGCATCTGGACTGGTTCTGTGTTTCAGTCTTTGCTACTTGAAGTAGCACACTGTGTCTAGACTTGAACTTAAAAGTTCTTCCAAGTCTGGAACCGTTAGCATTAGCGTATGTGATGGAACTATTTGTGCAGATAAAAACTACTCCTGCAGCTGAGAGCTTCGTATATGATTTGTTGATCAGAAGTGAATCGAGCAGCTGCTCATGTCAATGGATCTTGAGTATATTGATGAATATTTTTTTCTGAGAGAATAAATACGACTTTGTGCAGTAGTAATCAAAGCAAGTCTTGCTACTGAATAACAGAAGATACATTCTGCTTCTACAAAAATACTCTTGTAATAGTTCACCAAATAATACTCTTTTTATGTACTAAATAATTTAAAGAAATGTAATCAGGAAAGCAAGGAATGGCAACAAGAAAACCAGACACTTGTACATCATTTATCAGAATTTTTCCTACACCAAAAGCAGTAACAGGTGTGCTCTTTTCTTTGCAGGTACGATGAGATGAGCGTTCTCTTCACGATCTTGATAACTGATGCCACTCTGGAGAATGGAGTGGTCCAGCTGAGAAGCAGAGACACCACCATGAAGGAAATGATGCACGTTTCTAGGCTGAAGGACTTTTTAACTAAGTACGTAACAACAGCCAAAAATGTGTAAACTGAAATTTGTTGAATAAAAGGAATTTCTTAAACATCTGTGCCTGAAGTGGCTTCTACAGCATCACAGACTCCGTGATGTCCCTGCAAATAGTTCTGGTGGAACTTGGTGCTGCATCTGTTTTCTGCCAAATCTAGACCATGTAGGTCTTCCAGGTTACCTAGAAAAGAGGGAAGATACAAACTTTCATATCTTCACTTTTACCAAAAATAATCTGCCCTAACCTAAAAATTCATTTTTCATCTCTGTATTGCCAACACAATTATGGTCTCTGCTGGAAAATAGTACTTTATAAAAAAGACTTTCAAATCTTACATGTTTTAATAACATCCATAAGTATCTTTCTGCTGTCTGTTTGTAGGGAGTATATTTTAATCACATGGCCTCAGTTCTTCGGCATTTAAGCTACTTCATCTTGCATTTGATAAACATCAGAAATACATTATCAAAGAAAAGTTAATTTAGCATCCTATCCCTACTTAGAGAGCTGAAGTAATGTTGAACGGAGGAAATTGCCATCCTTGCTGCAGGTACAGAGGTCAAATATTAATCCTCTGGCATGTGCCTAACAGGATAACACAATTGGGATGGTTTTTTATTTTTTTATTTTTAATACTCGACTAAAGCCTTTTGATTATCTTATGTTTGCATACAATCCGGTTTCTGTTTCTGGAGAATTGTTAAATGCACGAACTTGGGTCTGGGTGAAAACTTTACAGCTTTTATTCTGTTTTGTTTATTCATCGGATGCATTCACCAAACTGTATCTTGTGTCCAGCAGGATCTTAGCTGACAGTGATTACATTGTTTTGTTTTGGGGCTTTTTTTATGGTGCTGCTTGGGCAATAAGCTACTGTTTGTCTAATAGGATTGCTATTTGGGTCTTTGTTAATTCCAATTTTTATCTCTTCTGCTTTTTTCTTTGAAGTCCTTAGAGATTATGACTTGGGGATTTTGCTTGCTAGTAGAGAAAGAGTTATATTGCCTGTCTACAAAATAATAAGGCCAGGAAACTATTATCTAAACATCATCTCTTTTTGTGCAGACTTGGTGGTACTTATCTGAAAGATTCTTTAAAAATACATGATTAAGTTAATGACAAAAGAGATCTTACCTTGTGCTCAGTCTCTGATGAGGACCTGTGAATAGACTGTAGCGCATGCCACCTTCTCTGTTAAAAGCCAGAAAAACATAATTCAGAATTCCTTTTTTTTGGTACAGGTACATGACAGAAGAATTAATAATCCATCTGCAGCGTGGTCAGGAATAACATCTGCATGGTTTCATAATGAGGCTGTTGAATTTTGGGGTCACAGGATGGTGATAGGCTTTTTATTTGTTGGGGTTTTGTTTCGTTTGCTTCTCCCCCCCCAAAAAAAAGTCTTAAAGTTACTTAAATTTCTCTGTAGTAAGTAAGCAATTTCAGTATGTATGTACTGCTATCTAAACCCTGCCGTCCCCAATAAAATCCCCCCAAAACATATTTTTGTGCATCAGACCTTCCAGTATTGCAGGTTGAGGTTTTTACCTTTTTCATCTTCTCTTCTTATAACAGAAATGTTGACATATTCTTCTTCTGGTTTAACATACTCTGGATTAAAGATGATGAACAGCAGTTAACTCAGTTACAAGAGAATGACCAGATTTTATTTTTTAATAATCTTGAAGCAAAGCAGCTAAATTCTGTATTGAATATAAATCTTCTGTGCTTTCCATAGCATTCCTACGCCTTGTCTGAGCTATTGTTGCTGTCCTCGCAGGGTATGGGTAGAATGGTGACTGATAACTGGTGTGAGCAGCTGCACTGAGCTAACACAGCAGAGCAGCTGGAATTCTGCCTGTTTGCTACATAAAGAGGAAGGCAGATTTGTTCAGAGCGAATGATTTCCTTTTAAAGATTTAGAAACAGGAAATGTAATACCTTTGCTGTTGGTTTGTTTTGGGGGTTTCTTTTTCCCCTGAAAATACTGACATTCAAGGCAAATAGAGAAAACTACAAGTTAATAGCATATGGCTTTCATGTGGTATCTTCATGACTGTATTTTCTGCAACTGAAGTAGTACAATGTCTTAATGCAGATCAGTTGCTTTGTTGTTTAGCATTACTTCATAATTTCGGTTTGAACTGACTTTGAGTCTTGTCAAAGTTAAGAAACGGGATAAAGAATTCTTGTTCAAAATTGTTCAGTATACAGAATGCAGGAGCTCTTATTTTACTACAACTCATGTATGGCCTGCTTTTGTCTCAGTAAATGGGCATTGCACCTCTGATCTACATACTGTCTTTTAATTTTCCTCTGTAAGTGACTATTTTAATCCTCACAATTAGTTACCAAATGCAATCCTTCATTTTACTTCTGTTTACAATGGATTTTTGTACAGAAGTTCAGTTCATTTAACCAGCTGCAGTTTTAGCTGCAGCCAAAATATCTGGTAGTACTAGATATCGATCCTGAAGGACTTAAAATAACGCCTCTGCCAGGCATGGTCAGTAGGAGCTCTCCACTGCTTTTGCATGACCTGATGAAATTTGCCCATCCTAGCTACAAACACTATAACAGCTTTCTTCAACCAAACTCCCACAGGTAAGTTTTATGGGGAGTAACAAGAACTTACCAATTTCTGTGTATATGACATAGTTTTCAGACTCTTCTGCATTCATTGTTAAAGTAGGGCCAGTTGAGGACCAAGTAGACTTAAATTTTCCTGTAAATTGTAAAAGAGAAATGAAAACCAAACACATATATCAGTTTCTCCTAGAGGGAAGTAAACGGCTGCAAGATATTTTTTGAATACTTGGAGATCTCAGATAATGTTACTGTCATGATAAAAATTACCAAGGGCATTTTTAATAGTATTTCCTTTCTTTACTAAGAACAATGACATCCAATTCCTTCCAACATTTGCGTATTAAATTGGATGTTGCTTTGCTTCCCCCATCTAAGACATAGCTCAGAGGTTTTGTCTTATCCATGTTTTGTTCAGTTGCCTGTGCAGGTTAAGAGGCAACAACATTCTAAAACCCCAAGAGCATAACTCTACTTGTAACATGATGTTTATACTCTAAAATGTACTGACAACATGAATGAACACTTCTGGAAAAGGAAACAGACATTCCAATAACTCACTTGCTTTATATGAAGGAATTACGAAAACTGGAATTGCCAGAGCAAATCCTATTATGAATAGCAGCAAGATCACCACAAGAGAAATTATCATGTGTTGAGAATGACTTCTCTCTTCTGCCAAAAATAAAAAGAAAGGGTGTTTATGCAGTGAAATGTTGTTCCATATTCTGAATATTTTCTATAAATTAAAATAAAGACTTTGCAGTTCTTTCAGCTTTTGGATTAACTGTGGTTAATGTCACTACTTGGCAGAGTCCAAACTGTACACTGCCACAGCAGGGAGAAGGGAGCTTGCTGGTGCCAGTAGATTCCTTCTCTCATAGGACCAGAGAGAAAAATGAAACAAGGCTCTTCCCCAAGGTCTCGTATAAAAGTGAATCTTTTACAGTTGTCTTCCATGGTCACTTCAACTTCTACTACTATCTAGGTGGCATGGAATTCATTAGTTTTAAAAACTTCTTTTTAATGGTAAAAAAAATATTTTGAACATTACATTGCAGGAACAAAATTTCTGGCTAATAAGCTTGCACAGTTATGTTTTGAATTTTGTGTGGTCCCTGTTTATCGACAGTGGTGAACTTTCACACGTGCATACCTGCCAATGTAAAGTTGAAACCGTTGCTGTATTTTGTATTATTGTGAAAGCTATTTTTAGCGCTGCATTTATAGGTTCCAGAGTCACTAGAGGAATTGATAAATAGAAAAACCACAGCTGCTTCCCTCTTACGCATCTTCACTGGGGGAAAGATGGTTTGTCTTCCTTTGAAGAATATGTATGTGATAGGAAGCGAGCCGTTCTCTGAGAGGCAAGACAGGGTCACATTCTGGCCTTTCTTTGCTTGAGAGGTGGGTGAGCTCAGCACTGGTTTGGAAATTGGCTCTGTAAAAAGAAGACTGAAAAGACTGCATCACTGAGTACAGGACAAGCTCCAAAGCAAGACTTGGAGTTAAGTGGCAGCTTTGGCAAATGAGACGGGGATCAAGGATGGAGGGCTCGGTAGCCCCAATCAGAATAGCACTGCCGTCTCCTAAGGACGTAATAGCTAAGTGCAGTAAAGTTCAGCTCTGCAGTCAAGGCAGGCACACGCAGCAGTCCAAAACAGTTGTTGCTGTGAACGAAAAACTGACTCCGGCTGCTGCACATGCATTGCATCACAGAGATATGGCCTTAAAGTAAAATGCGCTGAGAAGGAATACAGCAAGACATACCTATCAGGGTGAATTTGAGACTCTTGCTGTATTTTCCGCCACTGGAGATGTTAGTCTCGGCTTTGCATTTGTATTCACCCACATCGCTGGCAGAGTTGATAGTGAAGTTAAACAAACCAGGACTCAAGTCTGTCCTATTTAAAGTGGATACCTTCTGATTTGGTTTAAACAATGTGTATCTGACAGGCAGAGATCCAGAGTCTGAGTGGCAGGAGAGGGTCACGTTCTGGTTCATCACTACATTCAAAGTCCCCTGAACAAGTGTGAGCCTGGGATTGGACAGCATCTCTGGAAAGAAGAAACTTCTGAGTGAGTTTACTGCATCTATTATCCAGGAAACTCTCAGATTTTTCCCAAAATTCGTTAAGGACCAGGGTATACTTATTTCTGTTTGTTTTGGGTTTTTTTTCCACCTCTGGTAGTGGGCAACACAACTTTGTATTTTTCAAAATCCGTATGCAGCTTCAAACACTTAATGAAAAAATGCACGTCTTCATACAAAAGAGAACATATCCACACAAAGCCAACAGATGTGTCCAGATGAACCAACAAAAACACTTTCGAACTACAGCAGCAATTAAAATAATAGAAGTATAAAAGTTAAATATAAATACTATGGTCTGTTACTTGTAGGAAAAAGTAACCTTATATGTTAGTTGAGAGGTAGCACGTGAACTTCAAAGTAAAAGCAGTATTTTCTCTATGGCTTCACATAAACAGGCACAATTAACCTTGTGTAAGTAGACTGAACTTTGGAACAGAAGCACCAGGGGCCTTGATGTTCCATCAAATTAGTTTGCTTTTATGAGATCATACAGATAAATTTGTAATAGATACTTGTAATGTCTTTTCGTATAAATAGTAATAAATTAGCCATGAATAAGATAAATTGACACTTCTAGAGAGGGAAAAACATAAGTTTTAACATCTTAAAGCAATTTTGACTGTACACACAAGTCAACAAAGAGACAATTGACTTTGTACAGAAACTTGTAAACTGCCTCCCTGGACTGACAGGGACAAAAGATCTGATTTTACATGAGTGTTTCGGTCATTTTTAAATCCTCCCCCATTTTTTTGTTAGCAGTTGGTATCAGTACATATCTCAAAATAAAACAAAATAGAACCTACCTGTGTGATTTGCAGTAGTTTTCTGAATCTGCTGAGACATTTGAGCAAAGAGAAGAAAAGAAAGCTTGCAGACAAGAAACAGTGGTTCTTGTTTAGGAAGACTTGTAATATGTAAGAAGTATGCCCTTGGCTTACAGTAGGAAAACAGCAGAATTGTGAGAAAAAACATTTTCTTGCTACTGAGCAAGGCAGCTGGTGGACTTACACTAATGAGATCTCTGAGGAGTGGCTGTTGGGGTTGAGGAAGTCCTAAATATGGAAGCAGTGCTGATCTTCACTGGTGTTTGTGTAAAGACTTCTGTCATATTCCATTTACATTTAGCCCATTGAATGCAGAGCGGTGGGCAGAAGAAAAAGCTGTGGAGTGAGGAACGGCAGGGTGGGATATGACTAAATGTTATGTAGAGTTGTAAGATGTAGCTGACACCATCACCAGCTTTTCCATGTGAGAGCGCTGTGTGGTAGAACTGTGCTGCCATGCAGGATACAAGACTGTGTGTAACTTATGTAATTCTTCTAGCACTGTTCTAGTAAGGGAAAGACATCACTGATCCATATCAGACACATTTACTAGAGATAACACAAGTTGATCATGTGGCTGAGACTAAGGGAGTACATGGTACCGTGTTTTCTTCAGCAGTGATGTATTTTTTTAAATTGTAAAAAAAGAAGCATCAAATCTATACAAGTTTTAAAATGTTAATAAATATTTCTAGCTAGCCAGGTTGTTAGGGAAATGTTTTGGTCAAACTTCAAGTATTAAGCTCTAAGGAAGTGAGATCTTGTACTGGAAAGTAAAAATCTCATGATGAACTTTAATTCAGCACAACTGCAGAAACGAATCCGATGACTAATTTGATCATATAATACAAAGCTACCTAATTACAGTTAGAGCAAGCAGATGTTCTTTATTTGTCATCCTTCGGGCAAAGCAAATGTAATCCTTACCTATACAATCTATACAATGCTTCCTGAAGAACTCTAGGCCCTGTTATATGTGAAGAAGCAACTACATACACAGTGAATGCCTTAGAAGCGTTGTTGTGCACCCTGCCTTACTTCTTATTTGTCTCCAGTTTCTGCAGGTAGCAGGACAAGGCCCTACAGAGTCTGTCGTCGTCTCCTGTGTAGTACAAAACCACTCTCAAAGCCCGGTCTGTTGCAGCATTGCAAAGTTTCCTCACAGAATTTTGCATGCAACTTCCTTCCTCCTTGTTTTGTTTTTCTGTTTTAAGTTTTTAAGACAACCTCCACCCTGCCCTCGCAAATGTTTCTTATGTGGAAATGCTGACAACTAACCACAAGACTGGAATATTTTTTTGCAGCTGGCAGGAAGCATGTGTAGAAACGCAGCTGTCAGGAGAACTGAAAGTGTTTTCCTGTTACAGGAGCCTGTTTTGTCAGAAAACCGCAAAAATAGTCCTTAAGATGCTTGCAGGCAGGTGACGGAGGAGGAGAGGTGTCCCAAAGTCGAGAAGAAGCCCGGTGGCTGTCCCCTCCTGTCACGAACGGGTGGAATTCCGGCCCCGGCGGCCGCTGAGGGCCGTGGCGCTGCGACCGTGGGTGGCGGGGAGTCCCGCGCGGCCCTTCCTTCCCCTGAGGCGCAGACAAGGGCGGCCTGCCCCGGTGTGCGAGGTCAGGAGGGGCTGTCGGCAGGCGGCGGCCTCAAGTACAGCTGAGAGCAGTCTGTGGAGAGCTCATGGAGGCGTTAAACCGCCGGCCACCTCCCCTGTTCTGCAAAAAGCCCCTGAGGGACTGGCTGACCTTGCTCACCTGGAACTGAACGCTTTACTTTTTCTAAGAAACGGATTCATTTTGTGTGTGTGTAATGACAAATAGTTATGTTGAACCGAGAATTTGTCTGTACTTTTTTAAAAAGAGAAGTTTAATTGTCGATAGGATCTCTCCTGTACAGCAGTTTTAAATGGCATGAGGTCGGAGAGGATGGTTGGTTCCCTCAGGCAGGCCTGAGAATGGAGGGAAGTGCTGGTTCAAAGCTGGTGTGCGTTGGGAAGTGAGGAGGGCTTGATACCGAAAATTACAGCTTACAAAACCTCTCTAAGGCTCATTTTGGAGAACTGATTGTGTTTTTCTTGGCTGGTTTGGACTCTGCCGAGCAGCTCTGCTCTCTTTTACTTTGAGTGGAAATCCTATAGTTTGGTGCATCCACGTCCTCAATGTTTTTGGTGTGGGTGGAGATTTTATTTGTTTTGTGGTGTGGTTTTTTTGTTGTTTTGTTTGTAGACTGATGTCCCTCCTCCCTGAAATAGGAGGGAATATGTTTTTCTTTAACAAGTCCCATTCATCTCAACTATGGATGTAGGATTATGAGGAAGAGCTGCATTTCATTTAACTGTCCAATACTTGTGCCTAGCTGTTCCATCTGCTCCAATATCTGTTTACTTTTCAACTTCTATAATTGCTTTGCAGAACATTAATAGAGACACTTCCTATGCAAAAAGACCTTTGAAGCATCATGATAGGATTGGTAACTGATGAAGTTTGGTTAAAATTCAGACTGCAATTGCTAGATTTCCACTGGGGTAAATAATAGAATATAGTTGTTAGAAAATGAGACTTCAGATAAAGTTCATAATGTAAACAATTAAGTTAGGTTGATATAAATAACCTTCCAAAAATTTTACTTGATTGCTCAATCCTACAGAGCCAGGAAGAGCTGGATATGCCAGAATTTTGTTAAAGCATAATCAATGGGCTGTGTGTGCTCATGGGGGCTGGGGATGCCAGTGATGCAGCAGCATTTTCTTGGAATAACGCTTTTAATTTCTGCTGGTTTATGTGAATATAGTTGTGACGAGCATTGAACAGATCTGAAGGTGAATAGCTTCTTTATGGCAGCTTTGTAAAAGGCTTTGAAGGCAGTATTTTTCTACAACACGTGCTGGCATTGTCCCAAAATTAAGAGAATAAGCATCATTAACTCCTGCAGTGCTACTCTGAGACAAAATGTTACTGTCTTATTTTGCCCTTTGGCAGGGAGAACAGCATCCATATTGTCCATATGGCATCCAGTTGTCCATATTGTCAATGTGAAACAGGGAAAAAAGGCAAAATTAGCCCTTGGCATTACCTTTCCTTGAGGTTTTGAATACTGACTTTATCTTTGAATACTAACTAGCTCATTAGTCTCTTGAAGAGTATCCTGGATAGTAGCAAACAAAACTTCAGGCAGAGTTGGCTGTTGTCTTAGGAGTAATATGATGCTGATTAGTTCAGCGTGTATATATAGAGTTCTAAGCATCAGTAAGATATTGTGCAAGCTTGGAGTTCCCTTTTTATTAGGTTTACAGACTTCCTGCCTGGAATTAATCTGGTTCTACATGTAGGAAGAACTGAATACATTCAACAAAAAGTAATGAACAGAAGTCATCCAGTCAAAACAAGTAAGTTAGAAAGTCTGAAAGGGAGATGTGTATCACTTGGTGCTGTGACAATATTCTGCCTCAGGCAAGCACATGGAAGAGAATAAAAGCCAAACTGAGCTCTCATACATGAGGTCAGTTCTTTCACTTGGGAATGGAAATAGTGTGAGATAGCATTTTGTAGTAAGGCTGTGAAGCCTTCACACGGTATCTGTCCTATCATAGGCTTCCAGGGAAATTTGGGTGTTTCAGCAGAATTATAAAAGTTATTCCCAGTTTCTAATCCTGAGAGGTTCTCCATTCTGGAAGAGCATCTGCTACAGTAGATGTCTGCAGAAGGTTTGCTAGAAACCACCATATACTGACAGTTATGTCTGGTGATGAATTCAATTTAGCACTTCTGTTTTGTCTGCAAAAAGGTTTTACTGATATGGCTAGATTATCAGGGAGTACTGTATTTTTACACTCCTACTCAAAATGGCTGTGGTGGCAAGTCTGCTGTTTATTTTAACTCCTTGGTATTTGGCCGTGAGAAGGTTGTTTTTCTAGAGGGCAAGTAAGAATAGAGGGGGAAAGGATCTTTTCTGTATGCATATTTAAGTTATCTTTAAATTTCTTGCAGGGATCGTCAGGTTCTGAGTGAGAATTTTCATGTAGTGAATGGTTTTTAACGAACTGCAGATTGCAAGGAGCATGTCAGCAGGTGAAAGAAACTTTTAGGTACCCAATTTGATTGCATTAACTGCTCTCAAATCACCCAAAGATGAATCATTTTAAAATGCTACTTCTTCCCTCTGCCGCCTCTGCCCTCTCTCCCCCTCTCACCCCCCCAGAAAAGGAAAAAGAAACATTTTGATGAGACACCAAGGACTGAAGTTTCTGATGCGTTTCTCCTGAGATAAATTCTGACATGACTGTCTGAAAAGTCTTCCAGAGAAATGTGTTTAGGGATTGCTATGAGAAACTATGGGTTGGAAAACTACAGAATACGCTCTTAATCGGCCTTCTTTACAAACTCATAGATTAATTACTAACTTAATGAATTAATTAGATTAATTAATAACTTAATTTTTTTTTTAACTTAACAAACAGAATGAAAAAAGTGCCAAACAAACAAACAAACAAGTCCCGTGTAAGGAGTGTTTCTGCTTTCCAGCCCTTTTCAGACTTCTGTCTGTGTACTCTGAGGAGTGTCTGCCCCTCTGTGCATCCCACCCAGCAGTTAGCAGCAGCAGCAATGGCTGTGTGTGGACACTGCTGCAGCTCAGGGAGTGGATACATCCTCCCTCTTGGTTTGTGTGAAGTCTGCTGAAAGATTTTTCTGTCACCTTAGATCAGCTTGTTGGGTGACTGCTGAGTTTTTCTTATGAAACTGATGTGGAATAATGTTGGGAGAATCATCAAGCAATATGAAAACAGTGGCAATGTAGAGGGAAGGAAAAGTATTTCCCGAATTAATTCCCTCTCCAGCCAGAAGGCCCCAGCCTTTTCTCTGGCAGTGTCTGTTCTCCGCCATCAGTGTTATTGCAGACCTCAAGGCTGTTTTTCTGCTGCATCCAGAAATGCTGGATGTTAAGCAAAACAAGTGCAAATTCTGGTATGTTACCAGATAAGTGCACTGTGTGATGGCGACACAGGCTGGGATGGCTGTTTCTAATCTGTTACCCCAGCAGAAGGCAGCAGTTAAAAACATCCTCAAGATGTAGAATCGGTCACTTATGCACACTACTGGAACAGAGGCAGTTTGAGAGGTGGTATCAGAGACCACCATCCTAATGTAAACCCAACAAATGCATTTCACAACTCTGAAAGAAATAATTTTTCTCCTTTAGTCTGCATAAATTTCTAAGGTACGTGGAAGTGTGTGCTATGTGAAATACAAGTCAAGACTTCAGATTCAAAAAGTGTTGCACTGTATTGGTAAGGAAGTGTAAAGCTAAATAGTAATAATTAGCTCCTGTTGTTCAAAAGGAAAAGTTAACTGTGAAAGCCTCAGTGATCGTCTCCATTATCAGCTTCCTGGTTCCTTCAGTTACTTTTTGGGATCTGATTGATATTGCCATTTGGAGGAGGTGTTGGATGTCAGTAATCATCGGTTTAACTGTGAAAGAAAGTGAGGGGAACCGTGATGTGCTTTGCTCTAGTGGTCAACTCCCAGTAGATGGTGCCATTGTGAAATGCAATTTATTCTGAGAAGCATGAACTTTCAGCAGTCTAGAGTTTCTGTGAATTACAGAACTTCTCGACTTCTGAGGAATAAAATGTTCATTTCTTGAATGTTCCTTGTAAATAGTCAAAACTGGGGAGAAATTATTTTTTTTAAATTCTTCTGTGGGGAGATATAAAGAAATGCTTTTTAAGATAGCATTTAAAGACAAATGATGCAAACGTCCCACATTCAAGAGGAGACAATATACCCCCAAAATACATGTAGAGCAAACTCAGTTCATTCCCAATTCACCAAGGTTTTGTCTAGACATGTAAAAACAGCAGTGTTTGTTATAATTCTGTTATCTATGAGTATACTGAAATGGGAAGTGATAATTAAGCAAAATAGTTCACAGTTGTAAGGAAACAAAATGATTAAACAATTATATGTGTTGGGGACTGGGGGAATTAGAAATCAGAGCTGCTTTTCTGTTCTTGAAAGCTTGTGTTGACTTCAGTTTAGATGGGCACAGATCTCTACACTTTTCTGAATTTTTAAATAAAACTTAGAAAATCCCTATAATTTGTAGATACACCTCTATAGCAATTAACTCTTCTTAAAATCAGTGAATTTATACAAGAAACTGTGGGGAAGCCTCTATTATCAGGGACAAGATTTGATTACGCCAGAACATTGTGTTAACAGAAATGCTTTGTCAATAAATCAGTGAGGTGGAACTTGAAGGCAACACATGCAGAGACTTCATGTTTTCTGAAGAAACTGAAACTCCCATCAGAAACTGGGCATTTGGGACCAGGAGACAAAGATTAGAGGCTCCAAAAATTTGCTGGCATTGGTGTATGCTCTGTGAGGAAGTAAGATGTCAGTCCTAAAGACTGGCACTGCAATGTGTTCTTTACTGTCATGCCAGCCAGCTGGAGAGCAAATGAAAACAAACATGAAATGTGCTGTGAACTTCGAGCTTCCTTTCCTGCTGTAAGTGACTGGCTGAAAACATTGTATTTGCAGAGGGAAAAATATGAAAGTCTTATTCAGCATTTTGCCCTTAGTTAGGAAAAGAGGCTTTGCCTCTGCTTCCAGGCAAATCTCTGTTCAAATGTTGGCGTTGATGTTTTTTAGGAAATGTTACACGTAAGCAAGTAGCAGGGGACCCAGCCAGCAGAAGCAGGGATCGTGAATTCCCAGATGAACACAGCTGTAAAGTCTAAGGGTCCAATTCATTGGGCAGTAGATGAAATGTAATGGTTCCCGTTGGTTTCAAAGGGCATTGCATCAGATTATAATGACTGTTCTGTCTGCCTCGGAAGGTGTGTTGCATTTTTGTGGTCAATCTTACCTTTTCCACAACTAGAATAGGGACTGAATAGAGTTCTTTATATGGTGTATATTAGAATAACTTTGTCTGACCTTATGTATTTCAGAAAAACCTGTCTTGAGACATTACAATGAGATGACTGTTAGGAAAATACGCGGCTGTATGACTGGCACAGGTACTTTTTAAGTTTCAATTCTCTAAGTCAATCTGATTCCCAGTTTAACAATGGAAGATGGTCTCAAGCAATTCTTTTGCATTTGAAATGCTTTTCTCCCAAGTTTCATTATATTTTGGCTTAAATTCCTAGCCTGGTTCTGAACTGAACTCTATTGGCTCACTCTGAGGATGTTATCTCACACTCACTTTCTCCTGCCTTCTCTGTAGCTAAAGCAGAGGCCTTTCCCTCCCCCCGTGGGAAAGACTGGTGTGGTTTTGCAGAGCTTTGTATGTCCCGCTGAATTCTTTTATGGGGAAAGAGGGAAGGGGGAAATCTCCTTCCTTCCTATTTTTTGTTATCAGCAGCAGAGGTTGATCTACCTTTGTTCTCCACCTGCCATGTGTCCTTCTCCTCTTTTCCTTTACCTGGCTCTGGAGACCGTTGCTGGCCACCAGCCATCGGGCCTTTGTTGCTGGTGTGTTTCAAGCAGACTGGGT